GCGTGAAGTTTTTTTTAAAAGTGTTCTAGCCCTTTCATTGCTGCTTTTCACTTTTAATGGTTGTTAATGTGTCATTAAATTGGCGGATCAGATTGCCGGTTTCGGTTTGCATCTAGAAGAAAGCTTTAAACTGAGTTTAGGGGTCATGATTATCGTCACAGACATGATTGAGGTTGCAGGTCTTTCTGTTAATGCTAATATTTACGCCAAGCGATACAAGTTACTATCAGGGCAAAGCAGTGAACTCGTTGTTTCTTCCTCAGGATGGTTAGGATTGTTTTGTCCAAATGCTGAGTTAATTAGAATTAATAATGGAATATATTAATAAAATAAGAATTAAGAATATTGCATAATAGAGTTAATGCATTTTTCGAACCATTTGATTCCCTTTGTTTCAGACCGACTTGCAGAAGCTTTTGCGTTACGCTCGGAAGTTACCTGACAAAGCATCTCTTTTCTATCAGGTACATAAGCAGTAATTTTAAAATTTTTTACTATAATTAACGTTAGTTTATTAGGAACTTGCTCGGTTTTGGTCTTATGCATGTATGTTAGGTTTCACGGACCTGCAACAAACCTTCATACAAATTTTGGAGAAAGAAAAACAGGCGCAACATGCGGCTAACGACCTCCATAAGAAGCATCTGACTCACGTTCTTCAGTTTTTGAAGTTTGTCTAGCCACTTGTTCTTTCAAGCTGTTTTGACTCTTTTATGGACCGTTCAGTCACCTGCCGTTTCAGAGCATCTTAGATTTGTAATCACTGCTGTTTCTCATTTTTGAGACCTTTGTTATGAGGCGGCGGTTAAAATATTTAAGAGTGAACGGTTCTTCTCGAACGCAGATCTACTTCTGTCTTAATCATCATTGTGGTATGCTGCCTCCTGATCGATGTCTGTCATGTTTCAGTTCTTATATAGCAAACTCGCGGACCGGGGTAAAGGGTTTATGTTAATCGGTTTTGCCATACCGGGTTAAACTAATTTTCTGTTTCTTTCTTTTCCTGCTGAAGATGCGTTTAAGATGCGTGTTCGTAAGAGAATTTTTATTCCTTAAATAGTCCTTAAAGCAAATGTTTCTACGCCGTGTGGCAACACTGAATTCATGCAGGCAAAGCGCATTGTTGTTGAAATTTATATTCTTTGCCAAGATTCATCTTCGAAGATGATTTTATCAGACCATGACAATTTGTGTTACATACTCTTTCGGTTTAAACTTTCGGTTTAAACATGACTGTTAACGTTTCAGGCAAAAAACATTAAATCTTACTTTTGAAAAATTAACTTACATTCTTTTATGCTAGTTTTTTAGATCTGGTCAACCGTTGAAATTCGGCGATCCATTTCCTTTGCCATAATTGTGATCCGAACAATGCTTTACACATTTAATATGCTAATTTCAGATTCGCTCTCTTGTGCTGTGTCTCTTTTTTCAATCAATGTACCATAAAACTTGTAATAAACTTCACTCGTTTTTTTTCTAGCTTCAGATATTTTTGCGCGTAAGGAAATTTTGTTTCCTTCGTATATACTCTGATTATTGTTTATGATTGAAGTGTACAGGATGAATGGATGTAAGTTATGGTTGTATCCGTTCGTTTGTGACATTGACTGCTTAATGCTTTTGCTTATTGTCTGTTTAATTTGTTCTGTATGAGTTGTCTTACAATTTAAGTTATTTTTGAATCGTTTGCATATTGTGTTCATTTTAGTCAGCTGTCAGATGAATCAAGATGCATCGCAGCTCTTGAATATGTACGTCAAAGAGCATAGTTTTAAGTTTCTCTCTCTGGCTGGGCCTCACAACTGCATCATGCTCTCCCATTTGTTCACAGATCAGCGACTTGTCAGCTTTTCTTGAAGCTCAGCAGGGTGACTTACTTGCTCAAGAGATTTGGAAATTAATAGGAAAGGAAGTTTACGCATCTGCTCGCTATCACATTGTTTATCATCAATGAAAATTTTTA